TTTAAATATCATTGGTAAAATGATGGCCATCTTGTGCAACTTCACGCCGGCCTTGCTGCCAACCTTTTGTGCTTTTGTGTATAAAAGAATAATGATGATTGTTGTTATTATTATTATGAGAAAAAAATATCATAGTATATGTTGCTGGCTCTCAATGACTGTTGACTACAGTGGAAAAAATGAAAAACTTACGATCTGAAAACATTTGGTCTGTGTAGGGATTCTATACATATTGTGTTTATTAAATCTAAATACAATGAAAAACATGTAAGTGGCTTCCATCATGACTGTGCCAGAAAAGAAGGTTCAGAGTGATGTAGCGGATGTATTATAAATTTAATCGGGAATGGGGAAAAACAACATGAAAAAATAAGAAAAATGCTCTCACAAATGAAAATTCAATCACTGTTGTAAGTGCAATGGGCTAAATGTGAGTCCAGTATTCATTGTGAAATATTGTGTTCTTTTCAATGTATTCCTGTTAAAAAGAAAAATTTTGGTGCATCATGTCATGTAATGTGATTATGAAAATAATGAACCTGCAATTTGTTTCCAGACTGGAGAAGAATAAAGACAAAAAGATAAAATTTACATTGTCTCTTGTATTGGTATATTTCACTCCTTGCAGGAAAATGACATTAGAGAGAAAAGGTACGTCATCCTCTTTCTTATCATAAGCAATTTTATTTTTAGTGGTGTTTGTAAGCATCACTAATAATACTATTGTTCCTACTTAGGGTTAAAGGAATAGTTCTCCCAAAAATTTGCTGTAAATTTACTGACCCTCAGGCCATCCAAGATGTAGATGAGTTTGTTTTGTCATCAGAACAGAGGTGGAGAAAGTTAACATTACATCACTTGCTCACCAATGAATGAGGGTCCAAACAGCTGCTAAAAATATCACAGTAATCCAAACAACTCCCGTCTATCAGATAACGTCTTTTGAAGTGCAAAAGCTGTGTGTTTGTAAGAAACAAATCCATCATTAAGGTATTGTAACTTTAAACCATTGCTTCCGGTAAAATACAAGTCTATCTATGACGAGTTTTTTTTTTCCAGTGAAAAAGTATTTACGTCTGAATCAGGAGAGAAATATGCACAGATCAAGTTCCATATACAAGTGAAAACAGTTTTAAACTAATCATTGGATCATTGGAGGAAGCGTTATTATGTATTATATTTTGTCCAGAAGTGACAGTTTAAAATTAAAATGCCTAAATGGTGGATTTTTTTAACATGCATCTTTTCACTTCACAAGATGTTAACTGATGGACTGGAGTTGTGTGGATTACTGTGATGTTTTTATCAGCTGTTTGGACTCTCATTCTGACGGCACCCATTCACTGCAGAGGATCCATTGGTGAGCAAGTGATGTAGTGGTAAATTTCTCCAAATCTGTTCTGATGAACAAATAAACTCATTTACATCTTGGATGGCCTGAGGGTGAGTACTGTAATTTAGAAATTGCATATTCATTGGCAAAAAATCATCAGTTGAAGATGCATCGATGCACTTTTTGATATGACCTCTAGGAGTCAGCATAGGACCATTGTCTCAATGTGAGCTATAACGACTTGAAAATGTGATAGCTATGAAATATGGAATCATTTTGCAGTTTGAAATAGACTGCGGCTCTCTGTAAATTGGTTTGAATCAAAAATCATAATCACTCACTCATAATCAATATTTTGTGGTCTGGTAATTAAATTCTTTCCCCAAAGACCACAAACACTGGCAACATTTTGTTGATTTTGTTTGGCAATCAGTGTCCCCAGTGAAAGAAATGATGGGGAAAAATAATGATTTTGTGGGAAGACAACATTAGATTTATTAAAAATTTCTCTGCTTGCTTTCTGCTATACAGAGATTTTACAACCATTTTCCATTTTGGACAGAATTATTTCTGTGCAATTAGAAACTGTACTTCATATCGTTGTATAAGATCAATGGAACGTTTGGAGGAAAAGTGATAAACTAAAACGAGTGTGAAGAGTGTTGTAAGAGCTCAAGCCTCGACTTGCCTTCTGTTAATGGACCTTAAGTTATGATGTGTGTTTGTGTAACTGTGTAGGCTACGTGTTTTCTTGTCCACCCACTGTCACACACGCTTACCGTCAACATTCGCTAAATCCCTCCGCGCCAGGAAGGCTTGTAGCATGAAGGCGCTGTGATGAGACATTACTCACATCACCGAGGGACTAACAGAGCTGGTTGGTAAGGTTGAGTCATGCACAGGCTAATCAAGTCATTTGCTGTAAACTTCACAAGTCACATTGAAATTAACATTAAGTTTTAGAAGAAACAGAGTTAAAGCTGCTGAAAGTGACAACTGACTGTAAACCGATTGTCACAAATACATTTTTATTTATACCTTATATAGCCTATATTTTTCTCAATATCATTCTGAACACTATATGGATTTAATGTCTTGCAATTCTATTTCCAGAAAGGTCAAAAAGATCTTGCTCTCCTAAATCGTGCTCCCAATCGTCTTATAATGCATCGGTTATCTTCTTTTCTAATAGTCAAAGTCCAGCTCATTGTATAGACAGAGCTCTGGCAGTCTCCACCGTTAAGCATCACGTCTAGAGCGAGCGCTGGAGGGGAAGTCTGTGACAGTCAGCCAATCAGAAATCACCGGAGGCATCAAAGCCAATTACAGCAGGGGTCACATGACCACACTTGGCCGCATATGATTGGCATGACCGCAGACGGTGAGTAGCTTATCCGTCAACTTAATGCAAACTTCTTAAATGTGACCTTCACACAATTCATAATGAGAACAGCAGTTATTGTCAAGTAGACTTTTAACCTTTGAATGGGTTACAAAAATAAATAAATAAATAAAGATTAAATATAAAAAGTAGAATAAAAAATAATTATAGGGGACACAATAGAAGGTTACAAAACTACAAATACTGTTTATATGTGTATATATATATATATATATACATACATACATACATACACACATACACACACACACACACACACACACACACACACATATATATATATATATATATATAAACATACACATATACAGTCGTGGCCAAAAGTTTTGGCAGTGACATAAATTTTGTGTTTTGCCAATTTTGCTGCTTAAGCTGTTGTGGTGTTCAATCAAAATGTCTAGTCAGGTGAAATCACTATCATACTAATTAGATTGTAAGAGCAGACTGATTGCTATAAAAGGAGGGAAGAAGTGCTTCCAGTCATTGTGTTCTTGTTAGCAATGGTTACCTCCAAAGAAGCACGTGCAGCCATCATCGCGGTGCATCAAAATGACCTCACATGCAAGGAAATTACTACAAAGAATGTTGCTGAAAGAACCATTTACTGGATCAACAAGAACTTCAAGGAGAGAGGTTTGACTGCAGTGAAGAAGTCTTCAGGACGTCCCAGAGTGTCCAGGGCCCTCTCATAATTCTGCCCAAAAACACTGCCATGAATAAAGAATGGTATCAAAACATCCTGCAAGAGCGACTTCCAACGATCCATGAGCAATTTGGTGATGATCCGTGCTTTTTCCAACATGATAGAGCACCTTGTCACAAAGCAACCATGATAAAGAAGTGGCTCGACGATCATTACATTGAAATTTTGGATCCGTGGCCAGGCAACTCCCCGGATCTCAATCCCATAGAGAACCTGTGGTCAGTCCTCAAAAGGCGAGTGG